ATGCCCACGAAATAGATATAATGAAACTAAAATTACAGCAGATATAAAAATACAGCTAAACGACTAATGAAACATTTCTAACAATTTAATTATATTAAAAATTAAATTAAAATAATTTTGCAGAAAGTGAAACTCCTTATAAATGGTTGCGAAAGTAGACCTCGATATATTTTGTCCGCCCACGCGCCATTATTTTTCTAATCTCGTTTTGTTTGGTACTTTATATCCGCCATTTTATTGGTACATTAAGTTTTTGAGCTTGCTGACCTACCACAACATTTTCATACTTAATGTCGTTTCGCTCTATAAAACATCTAAAATTAACATTAACCAGTTAAGTATGTGCGAAACGTAGGGCAAATAGATAATTAAAATACCGGTAAAACTAAAAATTACGTGTTTTCTACTAAGAGTTGATAAAATTAAAAATAAATTAAGGTCATGAAATTACTGTTTAATATCGCCATTGTTATACCCTTCCTAATGTCGGCTAAAATAGGAATCGAACTCAAAAAACAAAAAAATACGAAATAAAACGTTGACCTACAAATAGTACCTACAAAAGTATGTGAAATTTGAAAATGAAAATGAACTGAAGAAGCCATCTTTAGAGAATATTTAAGGGAAATTTACCAAATCATTAAAGACTGACTACTTCTAATAGGAATTACTTATTAGAAGGCTTTGAGGGATAGTAAGTAATGTACTAGGAGCATATAACTATAGAAGAGTTTAGCGAATACCACGTAGAAACCGGTTTGCCAAATTATATTCAGTGGAAGTTGAGGCCGGGTAATTAGCATCGACATCTGAATTTTGCTACTATAAGTTTCTAAATTTCAAATACATTCAGAGCCTCACAAACTATTGTTCCATAAGCGTGCAAACATAAAATAGTTAAAATCAACAAGTCAAACCGACGGAAGCCATTAAGTAGGGCACGAGAGGCGAAAATTTCAACTTTGACAGCCAAAAAAGTAACTTAATTGGTGGGTGATAAGGTCCAGTTTCCTGCGGCGATGACGCAGCGGTGAAAACGAAAGTCGCCGTCAGACAACGTTTTGCACAAACGAATTTGAATACTAAATATTTCGATCCGGCATTAAAGAGTTATGCTCCTTTTCCAAGAGGCCTGGCATATTTTTCACGGTATATCGAGACAAAGTTGACATATCCTGAAAGATGGTGGCATCCGCTAATGTACCAACACACTTTCTACTATAAGGGCTTATTCAAGTGACACACTATTCACATAAGGATATGAATCAGCGAAACAGATTACAATGTAGGCAACGAAGTAAAAAATGATATACCAAACTAGCAACCTGATTTAGAACTAACTAACAAAAACTAACTAGATCACTTAAGTCAAGTGAAACCTGAAAGACAAGAAAATCGTAAAAGAGACGGTTTGAACAATAACAAAACAAATGTGTTTGGTAACCTAGATACTGTCATAGCAACAGTATGTATTAACTTCACGCGAGAGTCTCACTTACAATATCCGTTTATTTAAAAAAAAACATAGTTATAAGTTCCACACGAATCTCCTACGGAAAGACCAAAAAAGACTAATGGTCCTTGTATACAAATCTTCTTATAATTCTGCTAGAGACACAAGCAGAATTTTATCAAGAAGGAAACTAGAATTTTGTTAACATAAGTCGCTGTTTTAGTATCAAAATAAATTCAAGTCAAATGTAGGGAACTGTCTGTTACGCTCTTCTCAAACTAACAATTTTTCATAAGTGTTAGTTTTTAGGACGAATTAAAGAATCTGAGAATAGTTTCCGATTTGTCTACATTATAATAATGTGAATTAAAAATAGATCGTAATTAATGTGACACCAAACACAATCAGCATACATTTGACGTCATTGGGCTCACAAGTCGGTCAATATTAGAAAAACGTGGAATAAGCATACCTTTGTCCAACAATCGTGTCAGCTTGGTAGATTTTATGAAAAAGTAAATATAACCAAAACCTTTTTGGTTGCTATTCAACCTATAAATGATAATAGTTTGATCATTTCAGTAGATAGATATTAATTTCTTGTTGTTATAGAGAATTAAAAATAAATTGCGCCCAAAACAGCACCCTGGGGAACACCTATGAGTTGCGGAAGGAATTGCTTTCGAAACAAAGAAATATTCATCTAAGTTCATATTTTTTTTAAAGTTCCATTAGTCGTATTAGGAGGGATATACATTCTTTTTTAAAGATTGTGATTTCTATTCAAAATATATATTATGGGGAGAAAAGAAGTTTCGTTTTATACGACCTATGTTATTTCTTAATGTATGCAGTGCGATTCATATAAATATTTCTGTACTTTAAATAAACGTTTGAGGAAAACTGTATTTCCCGAAGGAAATCGTCCTAAGTCTGGCTCACATAGTATTCAAATTTAATACCTAGGTACCAGGATAATATAGGTTGCGAGGAACTGAAAGTATAGCATTATTCATATTCAAATCAGCTAAAACCGGAATCTTTGTATAAATTAGAATATTCATTCATTTAATCGCGTTATCATTATAGCCGTATTTGTTAAATAAAATATCGGAAACCACTTTTGTTTTCGTTTATTATTTTTGCTTAATATAAAACATATCACGCCTTTGATTCAACTAAGAGGTTGGCAGAAATTTATTAAACGTAGATAATGTAACCTATTTTTTGTCAGATATAACAAATCTATGTAATAGGTGGAGGGGGGAGGGGTGCGATTAATCTTTAAGAAACTATAATCAAAATCTTGAATTTTAATTCAAATCTTGATCAAAATTTATCCAATAAAATGACCACATTGTCAATATATCTATTTTTACTTTTATCTAAAAACAAACAGACATGCGTATTAGTACATTTTTGCGCGCATTATCTAAAATCCTTAGGCCATTGCCATTTCAGTAATCTTTTTTGCAAATATTCGCGTTATCATTTATGTAATACCGCAAACTTATCTATGTAGGGTTAAGGCCGTATTTGAAGGAAGTCAGATTATTTTTGTACCTAATTCATGTCTACGTCATTTTATTTATTTACTTTGTTACAATCAGTTTTAATATTAAAAAATAGTCACTAACATAAACGTTGTTGTAAAAGAACAAAAGAATCGTTTTCTTTTTTTACCAGATATAGATTGTGCTACGTCATCTACTAGGCATGCAGAAGATTGAGACGGTATTGTTGTATCCTTTCAAAGTTGGACTCTTGCTACGCTACGTAGCAATACGTAGTCGCACATAGATAATAATAGAATAATATGCGAATATCGTAACCTCATCACATACACTAACATATGGTCGCTTCGAAAGTGACAGTAACTTCATTTGGTTCGCAAAGCGCGTACTGCACTCGCGATTCTAGTTAACATTCAACCTTAATCCATTACAAAAAGACCTAAACTAAATAATTAAAAGAATACGTGATTTTCATCACGTTGCATTCTAAAAATAAAAAAAACGACGTACTTGGTCTCGTGGTCCTTTTGTTTAGTACAATAATTAATTTTAGGTTCATACAGTTTTAGGGAAAGTCCAACTAATTAATGTACCTATTTTGAGATCAAACATTGTGTCAAAGTTATTTCTATTCTCGTAAACCAAATACCAAGGCTTCATGAATCTTAACTGGTGGCACTAACATAAGCCGATTACTGTTAGCAAATATACCGAGCACACATAAATTGTACAGGGATTAAAATCCAGTACGCAACTGCCAAAAGCAGAGATCGTAAACTGTACTAAAGTTCAAAGACAGCTTCTAGGAAGTGATGAGAGCCCAGTACTTTATGTTACGAATATTATGCAAGCGCAAAAACTGGTTCGAGACGTAGCTAACGGGATTTCTTTGAGTATTAGCAAAATGCATAACTTTCACAATGATTCAGATTAAACGTGACTTTGTTATTGAAAATCACGTGCAATTCAACGTAACAATTGTAAACTAACTATAATAAATTAAGTTTTGAAAAACATTATGGTTGAGTACACGTGAGCAGAAAATCTTAGTAATATAAGTTTGTTCTTACTCATTCATAACATTCGACTTGAAAGATGCAAAGTGGGTATTTATACGAAGAGCTTAATTTGGAACAAAAAGTGACTACAGGATAATTGTCTGCTAAGTACTATACTTATTTGACACATATTTGGAAAGGATTGCAATCATTAAAGTGATCATCAATCAATAGATTTCAGAATAAAACTAATGGCGGTACATCGTTTACATTCACCGCTAGTTATCGGTCAACGCAACGTCGACAGTAGAAAAAATGTTCCTCGAGAGATGATTAGCAATCTATCACCTATGGCTTACACCACATGAGACAATATTGCAACACACGACTGCACTAACCGGCTTTGTATCTACGACACATTTGACAAAAACAAAATAGATTATCAGGAGGGAAATTAAAATTACCTGAATTATAAAAACAAATAATCGGAATACTCGTTTATTAGGATAATGTACGTTTAAGTTACCAGTATTTAATGAGGTCAAATCAAGGCGTTTGTATTGTGTTCAATTTTAAACAATCCTAATCGAGATACATAAGAAAATTGAAATTATATGAAATTGAACAACGTGCTGCAGAAAAAAATACGACAAGATTAAGAATCAAGAATAAATTAAACTAACAAAACAATTAAGTTAAAACAAGGGACAGTGTTCCTCTTGCCGGGCATTAAAAATAAAGAAACCGTTTATTAACGATGCACTCATTTCTAGTAAAATAAGCAGCAACACGGCAACGGTCGAATTTTACAATGAAAGAAACACTTATACAGAGTGAACGACACTCCAGAACTACGACAATAAACAAATTGCGTAACGCTCTCATAAAATACAAAAATCCTTTTCTTTACATACACCATGTGATTTACGACTTTCCATGCTCGCACGAAAATAATCACACACACAATTTTTGTATCGCACACTACACTACCACGAATGCAGTTGAACGCACACACATGTGTAGTATAGTACCTACCTATAATGGTCAGAGTGAATGATCCGGCGCCTGCGGCGCTCCCAGCTGCAGCATGGAGCGGCACAGCTCCGTGATCTCCGGGTGGTTCAAGTTAATCAGATGCACGTACATCTGTTTGTGCAGGCTCAGTTCCCCTGACACCGCTTCCAGCCTCTTTAGTAACACTTCTTTCTCCCGGAGGAGTGTCTTCACTTTTTCCTCTACTTCCCGAGAACGTACTTTAGCTTTTTCACGAGACTTTCTCACTGCAATATTATTCCGTTCACGACGCCTTCTGTACTCATCCGTTCCCTTATCAAGTACTTTCCCTGACGAACGTCTAGCAGGAGCGGGCTTGTGTTTCAATAGAGGCGGGAGCAAGGGTGCTCCTAGAGGAGGTAGTGGTGTAAATCCTCCTCCATACGGTCCACTGACACCGACAGTTGGCTGAGGATTATATTGCCCAGTGTACTGAGCGCATGTCACTGATCTACGATAGTCATGAGGCTCGGGCGGTTCCTCCTTAATGGGAGGTGCCTGCTCGTGCCCCTGGCTTGTCTGCACGGGTGCGTAAGACGCCCCCGAGTGTACTGGCTGTGGCATGTACGCCAATGTCGTCCGATTGTACCTTGGTTGAGGAGATTTGCCACCAGGAAGTATTTCCTGGAATAAGGCCATGCTCTCCTCACTTCGGAACTGGTCCTCAATGAGGTGCTGTAAGTCAAGGCTGATTTCCTGGCCATTGAGCTCGTCTAGGTCCGGTGGCGGGAAGGGTTGTCTCTTATCTTCTACTGCTTTCTTCAGGTCTGGTTGAGGTGGTGGTGGTGGCGCTGCGGCCGCGTCGTACATCTGCGGGGATTCCATACCGCCGCCCGGGCCTATCACGGGCCCAGCGGCGCCGGTAGCCCGTGGCTCCACTTCAAAGCACTGAGAAGCCTTCACTTAAACACATGCAACGTCAAGTTAAATCCTTTGCGTGTTATGTTCGCGTCTGATCACGTGTCGGTGCGGAGCGTACAATGCGCGCGTGCGGACGCGGCGGCGGTCGGGCGCTAACTGCGGCGCCGCGCCGCCCGCGCAATGCACGCAAGGTTGGCCGGAAGGAAGCGCTGAAGTTGCTGCTGAAAGTTCGCGAGTAAAAGTTTGCGCGCCCACCTCGATATTTAGGTGGTTATTCTATTAATTTTTTGTGCTAATATTTTAAATAGAACTCGAAGCGACTATTGTCGGAAATATAAAATAATTTAAAATGGTTATAGTATACGTAAACTGTTACTGTTAAAAAGTATTTCTGTCTTTATATACGAAGTTTAATTGAAGTTATTAACGAGGTGATGGTTTTTTAATCCCTATTAATGACTAGAGTAGCAGCAGAACTCGTTAATCTTCATAGTTAAGACGATTGCAGTTAATGAGTGCAGTAATGTAACTAATTAGTGTTGCGCTTTTGTGATAACTTAATTAGTAGATAATATTAAATAATGAACAATTACAATAAGTAAGTGGTTTGTAAAGATTTGTATCGTGTTAAAAATACTTGTTATTATGCAACAACGTGGTATATTTACAATCACAGAATTATTCAATGGAGTACCTATACAATATTATGTCTAGGGATCAATATGTTAGGGCTGCTTACCCTTAACTCGTCGAGTACCGGTTTTGTAGACACAATTATAGAACAATAGGTTGCGATCACCGGTGACCGCTTGGTGTTTGACAGTTTAAGAAATTAAAATGTATAAGTTAATATATTGATCACTGGCCGAGTGGTCGCAAGTGCAGTCGCACTTGGGCAAGGGGTATCGGGTTCGATTCCCGGGTCGGGCAAAGTATTACTGGGTTTTTTCAAAAACTCGTAGTAGCACGGAGTCTGGAAATGTGCCCGGTATATGGCAATAGGCCCACCCCCTATTACATGGGACTCATAACATAAATAGTGAGTAGTGGGTGTTACATTGTACAGTGGCGTTAAGTGCCGTAATGAGCACCTCTGCCTACCCCTTCGGGGATAAAAGGCGTGATGTTATGTTGTGTTAATATTTTGATAATTTTAGCTGTTATAATATTAAAAAAAGGTTGATCGTTAATTTTACTGCAGTTTAAAATTAAAAAGGTTATCGTTAAACCAACACAATTTTTTTTTAGAAAATGTCATTTCGATGTGTCTACGAGATAGAATATATATTTAGTTATTTTTAATTTTACCTTATAATGACAGTCTGACTGAGTAAAGGGATTGAGTCGTTTATTTATTTATCATTTTATGTATTACTAACATGAGGTACATAGGTACTTTTTTTTTTTGAGGGCGGAAAATCGTCCAATGACTTCTCCCGCCCGGGTGAGGCGGGAGGGAGTGTCAGACTCTTACTGACTAAAAACCACCCCGTTCCTACTCCTGCACTTCGAGTCGGAGCCCCGGTTACCCGTTAAGTCTTCCGCGTAAGTCTCTGTATCGGCATCAGGGATTTCTTCCTGCAGACCTGCGACAGGAAAAGGATTGTAGTTTGATACCGGATTAAGCATAATATTAATTAATAATTATAATTACAGGTTTATCTGTTATTTTTTTTTCAAAAAATCTCAGGAGTATAACATTATGTGAAACTTGTATCTGACATAGATATGACTTATGAACAAGCTCTGTTACAATTAGCACCAGTTTCAAATCTTGGGATTAAAAGACCTATTTCATGTTACATTTTTTTACAAGCGAACTTTCGAGTTTGTTTCTTATTATTTCTATTTAATCGTTAAATTTTGTGAGCAGAAATGTGTAGAGGTATAATGTAAGTCGTTCTACTGCGTCAGAAGTGCGAACTTTTTCATACAGCTATTGTTTTCGTTACCCTTAGCAAACTTTTTGTTCATTACAGCTCTTTTGTATTTATTAACTCCTGGTATCTATTTGTTTTATTACGATTCTATATATACAACATAACGTAATATCACGCCTTTTATCCCCGGGTGGTAAGCAGAGGTACTTAATGCCACCATACAAAGGAACACCCCCTTTTCACTATTTATGTTATGAGTCCCATGTAATAGGGGGTGAGCCTAGTAGCCTTGTTTAATCGGGGTAGCCTGGTTATTACGATTCTATATGTGTAATTATTTTGAAATAGATTTATTTATTCAATTATAATCTCGCGCCTGTGTCCAACTGGGGTATGCAGAGATTGTGGAGCGCCAATTGCTATGATCCACACATACCTCTTTCGCTTCATCAACAGTCATCAATTTTTTCCTGCATGCTCGTTGGTTAAGGGTACTTTTAAAATCGTTGTGTAGTCAAAACTAGTTGGTTTTTATTTATTTATTTTCTTCCTAGCTTTTGGCTTAGTCTTTAATGCCCAAAGATTTTTTACAAGACTTTAATACTTAGGTACTTATCCCTAGTTAAGAATATTTCGACTTCGATTCTCTGTGCAGGGTGTGCCTCTTGCCATACACTCATTTTTTAGACTCAGTGCTTTACTATGAATTTCAGAGTAATTTCAGAATAAGATGTTTTTTTAAATCCTAATTATTAGCGTACCTAGTGCTTATCCCCAGTAATTCTGTAATCCTTCAAAGTTAGATGGTATTTTGTTTTCATCACTGAGAAAAATGTTTCAACAAAATATTTTATTACATTGTTGTTTATTTTCAATTATACTATATATAAACACCGAAAATATCACATTTCTATCGGTAAGTATGTATAATTTTTCGAGGCATTTACTTTTTTATGTTAACCTTGTATTTTGTTTTATAATAATTATATATTAGTTAAGTAGTTTAATTAATAATGTTTACTATTGGTTTGTGGCAACGTTTGTGATAATTATAATATGTATTTCTTTACAAGTCGAAAACAACCCGTTTCTGTGATATTTCGTTTCGAGTTAAATTCTACAGAATTTTTCGAATATTATATTCTCTCAATCGCTTATGGACGAGTTTCTGTTGAGTATTTATTCATCCAATATATAAAATTGTGAATTAAAAAAAAACATATTATAGGTAGCTAACAGTACTCGATAACAGCCACCTTATCCCAATCTCTGGTTGGACAAACTAGTGATTGACCACGTACCAAACTAACGATTGTCACATCTCGATATTTTTAATCGATTGCGTAGATCCACATTGTTATCGATGTTCGTGATGATAGCTACATTGTGACGATGGAATCGCCCTCACGTGGACAAAGTCACATGTGAAACGATTCATAAGAAATCGTTTTCATTCGATAGTATTATGAAATTATCGAGAATAAATTTTTCGACTATCTTTGGTATGTGTTGATCGTGGATTCTTTTAAAAGATATATTTTAGAAATAGAATCGAATACTGTTTAGCTTGTACCATCGGTCAAAATGACGGGAATATTTGTATGGTTTTTTTTTTTAAAAACGTTGCCCCACACTAGGATTTTCTCCTGTGTCGTAGGTGCGTTTACAAACATACAAGTTCACATACACAATGACACCCAGACGCGGAACAACAATTTGTGGATCACACATAGTGTTGTTCCGTGCGGGAATGGAACCCGCGACACGTCGCACGGCAGCCGGTTGCCCAGCCACCGCACCAACCGTGCAGCCGCGTGGTGGTGGGCTGATGGTCACATTTATTAAATAAATAAACCAGTTTACTGGTAACTCTCGCCTATCATTGACGCTGCAAGCTAAGATGGCTACAAAAATATCAATTTGAAACAACTTTTATTCATGATACAGCTGCCCCTACCCACCATCGTCTGTCGTCATGAAGAAACATTATTTTCTAGTGTTTTACATAGGTGTACCTAATCTAATCACATGTTCTATAGTCCTCCAGGCCTTAGAGAAAATAATACATCGTAGATACAGATATTTTCGTCGTTATTTATTTAAAAAAAAGTCGACTTACGCTACAATTTTATCCCGTGTTGTTTACAACTGTACTGGACTGTGTTTACGAACATACAATTTCACATACATATGACACCCAGACCCGAAACTGTTTCTTGGATTTAGCAATATTGAGTATAGAAGAAAACAGGAAGGAAGTAAATAAAGAAGTGTATATACGTATTACCATGATCTGCCATGCTTCTAACGAAAAGAGAGGTATAATGTTATATTTTCCATTGAAAAACATTATTATTTATTGACATTAGCACGTGTTACCTGACCTAGAACATAATTGCTGATTTTAGCACATATTTACTAAAACCACTACATTGCAGAATTCGATATTTATTCGCGAATATTTGCAACCGAATTACTTTTTCGTATTTGGTTACTCCGATTACATATTATGAACGTATTTTTCCGATTTACATTATGTTATATAATGAGTACATATATAAATAACATAACATCACGCCTTTTATCTCTGAAGGGGTAGGTAGAGCATATTACTGCAATAATGCCACTGTACAATGTAACATCTACTTTTCACTATTAATTTATGAGTCCCATGTAATAGGGGATGAGCCTATTGCCATATACCGGGCACATTTCCAGACTCCGTACTACTACTGGGTTTTTTTACAAAACCGAGGTTTAGTTAAGTTTTAGTATGTAAGAGTCTGATACTCCCTCTCACCTCACCTAAGAGGAGAAAAGATATTTCACGGTTTCCCCACCTCAAAGAAGAAGGTGGATTGGCGTTCGCTGTTTAAAAAATTCCGCTTTATAAGAGAGTACTGCCTGGTTTCTGTTCTAAATCTGTGTAGTCCTTTATAGTGTAGGATCTTATGAAACCCGCGGGAAGAGTAGGGGTGGTGATAAAATTCCAGAATTGTGAAATCCTTAAACCCCAAAAAGCTGGCAATACATTTGTAACTTTTCTGATGTTGCGGGCGATTGGGAGGCCCCAATTGCTTACCATCGTCCGCATATTTGCAGCCGTATGCCATCTATATAAATAAAAATGAATTTCCGTTCGTTAGTCTCGCTAAAACTCGAGAACGGCTGAACCGATTGGGGTAATTTTGGTCTTGAAATGTTCTTGGTAGTCTAGGGAAGGATTAAAAAGTGAGAAAAATAATTTTTAGGCGGGACGAAGTT